TTACTTTTCGCACATTTGGCTTGATATTCACGGTCTGAAATTATTCGGGCACGGAGCAGGAAAACACCACACCAAGACGACTTTTAATTCACCGCCTCTGACACTCGAGGTTATTTGCCGATTCGAAAGAACTGATTATGATTCGTGACCCATTTACTTATCATTTTTGCCAAAAACTTTTAGGACTTTTATTTAATAAAGTAACAAAATATTTAATAAGTAACTTGATACCACATGTATAATTTTTAATGCGATATTCTACAAACGTTATGTCCAATCAATCTAATAACAATTTAAATGAAGATTTCTAACCTATTATCTTTTGTTGCATTTTTTAACAAAAGGGTATCGTAATTTATTCGGCCATAAGAAATGACTGAACTGTTTTCCAACACAAAGATTCGGGTCTATTTTGTACGTTACTAACCTAGAACGCCTTCATTGTGGTAAATTAATAAACACTTTTTATGCATGACAAATTGCAACTTAGAGGGCACTTTGTTAGGAAGACTTTTACAGGAAGGACGTGATGGTATACGCTTGCACCTTTTGCATTTGCATCTTTTGTTAATATTTGACGGTATTTGAGAGGTTTTACCTAGTATCTTTTCGGATCTTATGCTTGTTATAACAAGATAGTGTGAATCGAATCTTTGAAGCCTGCTGAAGTTTAACGAACTATGATTAGGTGGCATCGTACTTCTAAAGGCCAGGGACTGCTGTTGTCCACCATGTTGGGCAGACAGTGGAGGTAGACAGCGACCTTCTGTGCAGTGAGTGAGTGCCATACGAAGGATGAAACCAAGCAAAGCTACCTTGTCTGAGGCAACTTGTAGTTCACCTTCTGGAGATTGGGACATACTTGAACGTGATTTTGTTTCCCATATTGATGTAATAATGCCACCATGTCATATTTAGTCATATTTGTCTTCGCAATTAGTTGTAGTGCATTCCATCTTGTTCAAAGACGTTGAGCATGCAAATTCTTACACGTGTATATTTCGGTCATTATTCCCCTGGATCTGTACCACCGACAATGTCCGTAGTTCTCTCCAATTGCAAGGATGCAAAGATGAATGTAATTATCCAGTTTGTAGGGTAATCAAGAATCGCATGCAATTTCAATGTTTTGGAGGTGGTAGGGACTTGTACAGTCGATCCAAGTGTTCCTTGAGTGTGCACCAGCCGCCTTTACTCTGCTTTGCACTGCCCTCACACCTTGAGGCTCTAATGTTAA